GTCAAGAACGTTTCGGAAGCTGTCGGCCGCCTTCTTGCACCACTTAGGGTTGGAGTTGCCCACTGACCGGAGGCAACCACCAGGCGTCAGGTAATGAAACCAAAAGGCCCGCTGCCACGGAAAAAACGTCTGGAGTGGTTTATCGGATCTCGTGTAGTTGCGGACAAAGCAACTACGTCGGAGAAACCGGAAGACAGCTCCGAACGCGAATGGCCGAGCACGCTGCAGCGGTGCGGAGAAATGACGCCAGCTCTCAAGTTGCGGCTCATTCGACGAGATCCGGCCACACATTCAAATTCGACGAGGCCGAAATTCTCGCAAGAAGTGACAACCGCGTGAGCCGGGAGCTGCTTGAGTCATGGTTCACTGGCCCCCAGTCCATTAACAAGTGCAATGACTTCCCTCTCCATACTCAGTGCTGAGACTTCGCCTAGGCGGAGTAATTAGCCACGCTGGAAGCGCACAGGTGGACACTTTTGCCAACGCCAGGGTCGGTGGATCAGATGGTCGAGCAATCATCACACCAACATCCAACGCACGTGAAGAAATTGCAGCAATTAAGGACGCGAATGTCGGCCATCAAACAGTCAGCATACCAAGTGCAACGATCCCTGATGAAGAAAGAGGAGCCGTAAATATTCATGGGTATGCGATAGCATGGCGACTGCACCCTATAACTACTGCAGCCCCTTGTGCATGAACCACCTGTATCTGCTTTTGTATCTGATGATGGGTTCGAGCAGGAGTCCGAAACGTCGGGCTAATAAAGTTCTTGTCCCGGCGACCATGTCTCCCTTTTCAAGACTGCTTCCTGGGACTCGTCTCTTCGCTTCTATTGGCAACGCAAGGACTCTCATTGAAAAACAGGGAGGGCACCTCAAATTGGAAAAAAACAGTGTTGACAGGCGTCGTAGAAATCCCTCTTCTTGCCCACTACGTCCGCCTTCATTATTATACTGTGATGGTGGGTCTGAGTCAATCAAAGTGACTTTTACGACATGCCGTTGTGAAGCAAGATCGACCGACTGGACAAATATGGCGGTCCCAAAAGTACAGTTGAAATCATGGTAAGATGCGCTCACCGATCGTTCCTATGAAACTCACTCGTTCCGTTATGCCTTACGGGCTCTCTCTCGAGCCCAACCAGCAGCCGCACAGCGGCGCATGATATAGGCAGTATGTTATTACCGACAAAGACAAGGGAGACTGGAATGGCCATTTCTGGCTTACTATCCGTCGTCAGCCAGCCATAACCAACCCCGAATTGTGGAACACCCGAGGCCCGAATTCGCGACCTGTTAGTTAGAAGTCCACGCCTCTAACCACTGGGCCACGAGCCCGTTGCCCTGTCGGTTTCGATCGGGAATATACAATGGTAGGGGGCGCTCATCGATCGTGCTTACGAAACTCACTCGTTACGTTGTGCCTTATGGGCTCTCTCTCGAGCCCAACCAGTTTAAACCATCTCGTCGGGAGTATCTTCGGTTGGCGGACAAACCTCTCAAAAGTCTCATTATTTGCAACAGCAGCTTTCAGAGATAAAATCGATGCTACGGACGCACTAGTCCATCCTTCAAAAAGCTGCCAACAGTTGCAATTGTAGTCGCTTTTCCAAGAGCTTCCCCTTAAAGGACGACATTTATTGCACCGAACACTTGCATGAGATCACTCTCGTAAGGTACTAGCACACGTGTGTCTTTCGCGTGGGGTGGTGGTGGCGTTTTTATACTACCCAATGGGGTCCGTGCTGCATGATTTACTACACTGGCGTCACAAGTACTGGTTGAAAGTCCAGCCTTTCTGTCGCTGCCGAATAATTTTCTCCAAGTTAGCACATTGAATTTCTGAGGCGACTGAGAGGCTGATGGCCATAGATCCCACACAATCAAACCGAGCACAAGTTCGTCACAGTTACAGGACATTGACGCGTTAAATCCAACTAGTTCAAAAACATTGTGACTTTAGTCTCCGCCTGTAGACAGGGTGTTTGCACAGTAGGTGTACGTAGGGAGTGCGTGCGTGCAAATGAAACCTGAAGAATGATCAGACATGACCGGCTGGCCGGAAGAATGAATGCACACAGGTCAGTGAGCGCATGAGAGCCACCGTCGTGTCATTATTGGCGCGTCAAACAAGCGAGACAGTTGGCAGCACACGCGTAAACAGCAATCCACTTCACCAGTCTGAGTGGTGTTCAAGCGACGTTAGCTTGATAAACAAAACTCGGAGGAAAATAAAGCGAAACGAGGCCGATCGTTCTGAAAGCCCATTCACCGGTGAACGCGTCCGCGTAGCCAGTAGGTTCATTATCGGCAATAAGTACCGCGAGGCAATCGTGTGTCATTGTCAATTTTTCACGTGTGGTAATTCCAACAGCAGCAAGGCGGATTTTAGCCGGTGACGGAGGTAAGAAGGGTTGGCATCGGCCGTTTTGTCGTATCACTGACCTCGAGGAGCCCAATCTGCTGATCTCATTCATCCCCCCTCCCTCCTCCCCCCCCTCTTCGCGCCATTAAAAACGCCCTCTGCCGCAAAGCTCACCCTCGTTCTCGCCTCTCGCTAGCGCCTGCACCTAGCGACAGCCTGCTATGGCACACACGTCTGCCCGGCTTCGATTTGTCTCGTTGCAATTCACTGTCTGCGCCACGCACCTGGTCGATTCTCTGCCTGCACCATGCGAGGCTTGCCACCACCTTCGCTTGGACTCGGAGCCAATCAAAGCAACTTTCTATCGCTGATTGGTTACAAGTGCACACACGGGACGCCGCCCTTGCGGACGTGATTGGGAACAGACAGCACAGAGGCAAGAAGGCCACAACACTTTTGCAGCGGCGACCTTCGGCGACACACGGCTCGTCGCTCTCGCGGACGCCGCCTCCGCGGCGCCGGACGCATCCTCGTCCGGTTGCCAACTTTCCCCTTCACTGTTCTGTACAGAATAAAGTGTCCTAACCAAATGGCGTCCTGCTTCTAACAACTTGGGATATGGCCTGAAGTTGTGGCGTACTGAGCGTACATCATCACCGCTTAGTCGCTACAGTGGCTGTCATAGTGATATCACGATGATCGCAAAGGGGACAAGTAGGGTGACGGGATCAGTCATTCGCAGTTAGACCGTGAACTTTGCAGGGAACTGATTTCAGACGGAAGACACGAGGTGCAAACTCAACAGCGTCAAGGCCGTGTAAGGCTCTTCCGAGAATTCAGTCAATGGCGTAGTCGAACCGATTGGGCGACAGGATACAACGTTTTCGAGCTGTCACCTACTGTGCACGGGCATCGCAAGGCCTCAGGGGGTCTCACACCACGAACAAACGAACAGCTTGAAACCTCTAGCAGGCTACTTCAATGATGTAGACAGAGAAACTTAGCGGGCCCGTTATTTTCCCACCCAAGCAGACCGAAGTTACGGAGAATTTAAGTGCGATGGAATTCCCCGAGGTTCGCATGTGGGGTGCGCGAGAGTAGCGTGACTGAGGTAGGTTGTAGATTTCAAACGCCCTACTATGGGTCGGTGCCGCAACGACAAACAATGGCATTTTGGCAAGACCGGAAATAAAGACGACCTACCGTAGGTGGGCTAACTCATGAAATGTCGACCGAAAATCCGAAATGCGTTTTCGTTTCGAAAAGATTAATAAAGTAGGGTTGTAAAACTGACCATTGTGCAGCATGATTCTATAATAATTTAGCTACCTCAGGATGCCGGTTTTCCAACAAACTTCTTTCCAGCTGCATGCAAAAACCGCACTCTGTAAAAAATGACTACCTGAGTAGCACGCATTCCGCTCATAGAGTTTTGATGCCCTTAAAAATTCAATTATATTTCGTGGAAAACATGAATATTTTTATATTCATTCTCCTGCTCATTCGGTAGAAAATTATGTCCTTTTAAATTGCATACACGAAGGAAGGGTATAATTTGCTTTAAAAAAGTTTCTATTCGTGAGATTTTTTATTACCACGAAATGGCCGCTCATAAAACGTCATGCCTCTGCATTTACCAATGTGGCTTGTAACAATATCGCTCAAATCCACTGCCAAATTTTATGAACCATACATGGTCTCCTCTTAATACCGTGGAGAAATGTATGGTTTTCCGTACACGGAAGATATAGGGTTTGTAGTTTGGAAACCCTGAATGGAAGTGTAACGGCAGGTCGGGTTCAAAATTATTCGGAATTGGAAAAAGTTTTTGAAAACCGAATTTTACCCTTGCTTCGAGTATAAAATTGGAAGACGTACTTTTCTACCGAATGAGCAAAATGATGAATATCTGTATGTATGTTTTCCATGAAATATAATTGAATTTTTATGGACATCTAAAATCAATGAGAAAAATGTATGCTACTTAAGTAGTCATTTTTTTACAGAGTACGGAAATGTTTGCGAAAGCCGGCACCCATGAGGTAACTGAATTATTATAGCATTAGGCAGCACAATGATTAGTTTTAAAACCCTACTTCATTAATCCTTTCGAAACGAAAACGCATTTCGGAATTTCGGTTGACCTTTCATGAGTCATCCCACCTACTGTATCTTCAGTGTGGGTGTCTAGAAGTAAGGACTTAAAGGATTCCCTGAAGCCAACCAAAAGGGCTACACATCCATCGATGACGTTGGCAGATCTAGCCTAGTGATCAGTTTGGCCAGGCAGTTCGAGTTTGGATTGTTTTCTGGGGCAAAATATGCAAGCTGCATAATGTTAGGCAACAAATTCGGGTCGGATGTGACTATGTAGCCCACCTGAAATAAACAAACCCCAGTCACCTCTAATACGCGACCGGTGGTGATAGGGGTTTTCACAGGTGGGGCCGAGGAACGCACAGGCGACGAGGTCAAGTAATTGTATGCAAAGTAAAAGTTATTGGGAATGCGCGGTTGCACTTTGTGCAGTTGAGAAATAGTTGCGCTAACCCCTAACCCTTATTCCCAACCCCAACAGCACTGTGTCCATCAGGCGGGGCTACCAAACCACATCTTGCCCAAATTTGGAAAACCTACTGTATCACATTACTTGCCTTTACAACAGCGTCAGGTCCGCAAGTTTGCAGGGGAGAGTCTCGAACGACGGGAGCGAAGACCTGCATGACCATTATCGAGACGATACTGAGCAGCTGGCTGAGAATGAGCATAAATCCGGTGGTGACCATTTCCGGCACCGGATAGGTGGCTTCAGCAGCCATTTCGAGGGAAAGTCCGTAGATGGAAAAGCCAAAACCTCCAAACCAGAGCACGAAGAAGGCGATGAGTACAGCACGGTCAGGAAACCATATGGTCACAGAAAATCCAACAGCACCGAGGGCTGCCAAAGCAAAACACATCTAAAACATTTTTTAAAAAAAAGAAAACAAACAATAACAGCGGTGGGGCGTCATACATGAGACATGAGCATAATCTGTAATCTGATTTATTCAAAATCTGCCAAAACATCTATGAATTACGTGAGCCTGGTAGTCACCTGGTGGATTCTAGGTGAATTACTTAGGAAATCCTGCTTGGGCTTACTGTATCAGATTTGGTGGATTCCAGACGTTGCAGTAGGTTGGGCCGGTAACTTGACCCAAATGTGATTAAATTCGCGTCGTCCGGCGGGGCCTCGTAGCTCAGGTGGTTAGAGCGTTGGTTGTACTAAAGCCTTCCCCTTACTGCGTGGGTTTGAATCCCACCGAGGCGCCGAGTTTTTCACGGTTGGGTCAATATGAATTAATCTGTGAATTGCTAGTGTTACAAAAGACATCTGTTAGCTGCTCTACAAGTTCCTACCGAAAATTAACGGCACCAGCACTTCGTGGACAGATTTAGATGTGTAAATGGCATTAACTTTGTTAAATTACCTAGGTTGTGGGCATGCCACTTCTGGTATGTCGCGGATTGTACCTCTCCAGCGCGACGACTCACGGCCGCGGATCCGGCGAGGTCGACACAATTTATTTTCCAGCTGTTCAGACCGCATATCCAAAGTCCGTGGGACGCCTCCATGTCCTTACGAACTCTGCTGAGTGAGGTTGTTGGCTGACCTCCTATTTGACACAGTGTCAGATCACGGCAGCGAAGCACAATTCGTGGAACGAACAACAGATGACGTGTATTTCCTGGCTGACCCGAGATATGCTCAAGATGTCGTGATGGGGCGGGAGCTGTCAGTTTCATCTTAGACGAAGTCAGCGTACTTCACATCAATAGTATTGAATATGCAATTCCCAGGTAGCATATCAGGGTAAGAAGAGGCGTTCATTGGGAGAGGTTTATTGAAGAACTGACGTCTGGAATAGTTATTTAGTTTACCCATCTCTAGAGATTAGGAAGTAATGCGCACAGCTCTCTTTATATGGCGCACTGTCTGATGCGTGGCCCGCCAATGCCGACTGTGCGGCCGCATCCGACACGCATGTGACTGTAACCTGAGTCACCCCCGCCATCCGTGGCCGCGTAAAGAGCTGAAGACCCAGATAGTGCGGAGACAAATGGAGAAGAAAGTTCGTAAAGTCAGGTAGCGCGGAGACAAATTGATGTGGCGGTTGACAGAACAGTCGGCGGACATCCAGGCCTCTTGAACCTACTTTCCTGTATGATCATACCCTAGGCCCACGATCTCAACGGCGTCAAAGTTGAAGATGTATCCCATTTGCGCGGCATGGGTTGCTACTTCCAACTTTGGGTCCCTCCTTCACACAGTCAACTTGTGTTCGTGCATTCGCGTTTGCAGCCGTCGGACGGTTTCCCCAACGGAGTTGCACATCCCACAGCTGCACTGAAGTCGGTAGACAACAGTTGACATCTGCTGCTTAAGGATAGTCTTTTGACCGCATTACGTTCCCGCAGATTGTTGAGTCAGGCCTGTGAGCAACACCTATTCCGCTGTGATTTCGGCTGACTATGCTCTTCATTCCGCTCCCTTTGTTGCATTCGGCTCTGCTCAATTAATGCGCAGAAATGGCCGTTGGCTCTGAGGAGTTCTTGGAGGAGTTTCATCTCGTCCAGTTTGACGACTGGCGTGCTGCAATGAGTTTCCACCCGTCAGTATAGCGTGCGCACACAGTTCCGTTTGTGTTGCACTTGTAACTGACCATTCACAGCATGTTCGTCGGTTTTCTATATACTGATGTCGACAGTTTGTCGTCCGATTGGCGGCAGACAAGAAAATCTAAGAATAGAAGTTTGTCCTTCACTTCTTCTTCTTCCATCGTACACTGTAGGCTGGGAACGATTGAGTTCAGTTGCTCTCTGCAGCGGTTGATTTTATCCCGATCGATGGTTACGAAGGTGTCGTTAACGGAACGTGCTTCGAGCATTCGCCTCTCGAATTGTTGCAAAACCACCTCGGCAATGAGCCCGTCGAAGTGTCCTTAATTTGTTCATATGTGATTCCCTCGAAGGTAAAGAATGCCTAGAGGTAGTGCCCAATGAGTTCTATGAGATCATGAGCAGTGGGTTGGCTATCGTCCCCATTGTAATTTTGACGTACCAGGTCACAGCATTTCGACCACAAGGGCCTGTGGTATAGACGTGAAGAGTGAGTAGACATCAAATGACACATCTCTCACAGTCGATTCGATTGCTACCAGCTTTGTTTTGTCAAGAAATTCTTCTTTTAACCGAACTGTTGTTTTCGAGTCCGCAGTTAAGAATTTTAGCCTCTGGCCGTGTGTGGGTGTGTCTCCGAGTGAGACGATTGGACGGAGGGTAGCGCCTGACTTGTGTACCTTCGGGAGACCGTAAAATCGCGCCAGAGCTGTATTTGTAGACCTCGCCGTATACTAGTCTTTTGGTGGTAATGACCTTGTATACTTTGACAGTCTTCCACAGACGAGGTAAACGATTTCCTTCGACATTAAGTATGCTCGGCGCTCAGGTCACGCACAAAATCCCATTTGTTGCTCAGGGCTCTAACAGAATTAAAAGCGGACACTGACAAAGGCCAGTCAACTGTTATCCTCGACAAGGTAGACTACCGAAACAAGGCCCTCATGCTCTTCAACGATCGAGACTCCTACAAATTCGACAACGCCGTCAGTACGAACTCACTAATGGCGAAGTTTAACAAAATTCTGGAACGGCTAAAAAAGGACAAGGCTGACTAACGACAGGTACTAAGCCATATAAGGCCATGCCGGTGCTACCTTATCTACCTATACTACTAGTTGCTATGCGACTGCCTGCGAGGGCTCCATACTGAGCTGCAAATAGACAAGTATGTCCCGTAACATGATCGGTAATCGTCCTCCTAATATAATATTTATAATAGCTGGCAACACCAAAGGTGCTTTGTTTTGCGTTCAAGTATGACGGGAGGTAATAAACTAGCACCTAAATGGTAGCATGCAAAGAAAACACACGTCTAAGAAAAAACCAACTGGATAAATTGTTTGTTCCTTTCGATCGATAAACTCGGAACCCATACAACCATTTCGTTTTTGACCGAAAATTGGACCCTTATGTTTGGGAGAGTAGTTTCACACACAATCAACAACAGTGTTTAAACAAAGGTACCCAGGGTACTGACGTCAACAACTTGAAAGTGGCAAATGATACTCGGATAACGAGAAATCATAGCACCTGAACAAGCAAAGCGTCGCTCCTCGCCGATGCGTTCAAGAACAAGCACCTACTTGTTGTTGCTTCCTACTTATTAACCACTCCTCTCTTCCTCTCGTTTCCGTTTTTCTCTCTCGTTTGTTGAAGGCCGTTTTCCGGTTCTTCATTGGATTTTGCGTCTTTAACTGGTCTCACTAATCTACCCGTTAATAATCGTGCCTCTTATTCTCTTAAAGGACTTCTCTGACTATAACAATTTCTTCTGGCCCATGGTAACGCATAGTATTGCATAAAAGAATCGCGGCAGTCAGGAGCTTCTAAATTCTAGGGTCCATCACATGAGTTGACTAGAACGTCAAAGGAATAGTGAGGTATGGTTGAAAAAACGAAAATTTGAAGCTTCGAAAAACCATGTAGGTAGACTACAAGGCTTGTTGTTAGTAAAACTGCTAGTTTACTGACTACGAAAATCGTACCTTTATTCCGTACAATATTGATCCTGTCTTGTCCACGACCATTGAAACCAAAAAGGCCACGAAAATACCAGCTCCAATCATTAGTGCACCACATAAACCGGCAAATTCGTTCGAGTAGCCTGTTGAGCACAACATTTGCTGAAAAAGCGCGGAAACCGTGGTGAAATATGCCAAACCAGCTGCGAAACCGGACGCAAGCAATAAAAACCCTCGATTTCCTAGGACAACCCATGTGCTCTTCAAAAAGCAGCGCAGCTGAATGGCCAGATACCGGTTTCCGCTTTCTAGTCGGCGACGGCGCGCAATATCCTGAAAGACGGCCGAGGCAACAGAAGGTGGGTTGGGCGGACGCGCACGCCAAAACGCCGGCAGAGTTAGTGAAGCCACAAAGAAAGCGATCGCAAAAAGTGAAACTTCAAGGGATGGAAGATCAGCCGGTTGTTTAACAAGTAAAGGGGGGTAGGCACTTCCGATGAGAACTCCGAAGGAATTAGCCAGGGACGCAAGTGTAGTCGCTGTCGTCCTTTGTGTATCCGGAAACCATACGAGAGCAAGCTTAGTAGGAGCAAACAAACAAAAGGGCTGAGCGATGGAGGCGATAATTTGAGCGATGATTAATAGCACAAAGCGTGAAAATGGTTGTACCAGCCAGGTGGAAGTCAGTCGGAGAAACGCACACAGAAGGTTGCAAAGGATGCCTGTGCCAAGCACGAACCGGACTCCAAAAATGTCAATTAACGCAGCTGTTGCAAGGCCAAGCAGGACAGTTGTGAGGGGAAATATGAGATTTATGGCATTGAGACTGTATGCAGTCATATTATAGTATGAAATTGCATGATTTGCAACAGGTGCGAGTGCAATCCATAGTATTCCACTTAAAATATTTTGAGCCGACAACCCCAGAAGAACCAACCAACGAAACCAGGACGGTTTGATAATTACTGGGTTGGAACTCGAACTTAATAAGGGAACTGAAGGCTCAGAGCAACGCATAATCAATATGCGAAAGAAGGCCAGTGAGGCCGGTTAAGAAAAACCCGCTTCTCGTTATCGCTTTCAAGGTCAGTGTGGGTTAGTTTGAACGAAAAGCATTTACTTTATTCCTAAGCGCTTTTGAACTCACACTTTGGCATGTGGTATTCGTGAAGTGCCTTAGTGCCACAGCAACGAGGTTGGAAAGATGACAGGATCGCACTTACATGGGAAGAATTCGGAACTAAATTCATAGAATATGGTCACCAAGCAAACCTAGGAAAGATAAGCTTATCGAGTTTGTAGGTTTACGCACATTTTCGATTTTTCACTCTTAACTATTTTGTACGGCTGAACGTTTCTGTACGGTTGTTTAAATTAGCTAAAATACATACACTTGGTTTCGGCTTGAGAAAAAGCGCGACTTTTGTGTCCGTCTGCTGCTTGGTGTCATTGTTTCGTTGATTGCACTCATTTGCCTCAATCGGTTTTAGTCAATCGACACGAACCTTTTATATCTTATGGCCATATTTGACTGGACGTAATTTCACCTGAGCGACAAGTCTCATTCATTGACTTCGTCTCGGGATTTTACCCAGAACATTCACCCTATGGCCAACGATTCGGGAGAAGGCTTTATTTTTCGTGAATCTGTACAATTATTTACCCTTTGTCGTTTTCCTTATACTTTTTTTGCTTTCGTTATTTTTCTTGTAAGAAACGCAGCATCCCCCACTTAGAGTTAGGCATTTATTATTTTTTGTAGTTTAATTGCTCTTTATACTACAAAAGTAGTGACGCTGTTTCTCTATATCTAAGCAACCTCTTGTTTACTATGACCGATAACGACCCGAAAACCGACTATCTTGACGTCAAAGCCCTTTCCTTTAAACTACCCCCTTTTACATCAAGCAACCCCCGGGTTTTTTTTCGTCAAATTGAGGCGGTCTTCTCAAAGAGCCGCATTACTACCGAACGCACCCGATATTCTTATGTGGTGGAGAGTCTCCCCTTCGACGTTGCCGTCGATGTCGACGACCTTCTTGATCCCATTCCTGCCAACGACCCGTACACCCAGTTAAAGAATGCCGTTATCCAGAGAGTGGCTAAGTCGGCCAATCGAATGCTACGGGAGTTATTCACACAGGTAGAAGTGGGTGATCAAACTCCTTCGCAGCTTACGCGCCACATGCGTTCATAGCTAGCTGGTCGTCATATGGATGACGATATCTTTCGGCAAATCTGGTTGGATAAATTGCCGTTTCCCATGCAGCAGGTTTTGTCTATGCTTGGCATTAGCATCTCTCTAGACAAAATGGCCAATCATGCCGACAGTATCAGTGAATGCTACCCAGTCGGCGCGACATGCGCCAATATTCAACTGACCTCGACTCCCGACAGATCTGATAGAGTAGCCATTTCCTGTCCGGATGGCATTCCTTCACTAGAACGCGACATTTTTTGTGTGGAGCGGTCATCCTGTCGTTGCTCATCACGCAGAGCCACCACGCCATCAGGTCCCTCAAGACAGCCGAACAGTCCTCACCGCGGCGACTATGACGACCTAAAAGACACTGTAGTCTTTTGTACATACAAGTAAGCACCATGTGCACTGCTATAAATAGCTTACAGTCGGACAGAAGGCGGTCACCCTCGCGCCGTCGTTCTAAAGCTCGTGAGCGCCCTCTACAACTCTATGATAGTATCATCGTATTTACGGTCCGAAAGCACGCAAGTGCATTCCTCCCTACACATACCTACAGGCCTCACCATAGGAAAACGACCGCACCAGCCAGTAACGGCGACAGCTTCCGCTGGCCAGTCACGACCCGGTCTCCACTTCTATATCAGTAACAAGTCGAGCGGCCTCCGTTTCCCTGTCGATACTGGTGCCGAGATCAGTGTCATCCCGCCTCCAAGGTGCAACCATCTGTAGCCTTCGCAGTTTTCATTGCAGGCTGCCAATAGCACCACCATCAACATTTATGGCCAACGGTCGCTCACACTTGACATCGGTCTTCGGCGACAGTTTCCAGTGGGTCTTTGTGCAGGCCGACTTTAAATCTCCCACTATTGGGGCAGATTTCCTGACACCTTTTGGCCTTGCAGTCGACCTCAAGCATCACAAACTTGTCGATACCACAACCACAATCTTTACCGTAGGCATGGCTGCTTCTGAACCCTCGGTTAGCGTCCAGTTGACCGTACAAAGCTCACCATTCGCTGACATTTTGAAGGACAACGCGTCCCTCACTAAGCCCTATCAGTTCACCGGGAAGGTTCAGTGTACGGTTAAACATCACATCATCACCACAGGGAAACCTGTTTACGTTCTTCCTCGCCGTCTTCACCCCGAAAACCTTCGGATAGCAAGGAACGAATTTGAGCATATGATGAATTTAGGAATTATTGGTCCCTCCTCCAGCCCATGGGATTCTCCTCCCCACATGTTGTCCAAGAAATCGACTGATGATTGGAGACCATGCGGCGACTATCGCGCTCCCAACAGAGCCACAGTTCCCGAACGGTACCCTTAATTTAATTTAATTTAATTTATTAAATGCCAGTTTACAAGCATTGTCAAGGGAAGAGATTAAACACAAATCCGACCAGCAGTGAAAAAAAACTCCTGAAGAATAAAAATATAGTTGATGATGGTTTTTATGGTTTGGAGAGTTCAGGAGAAAAAAACTGCTGGCGGTAGATTTTCGACCGTCAAGAAGGGGGGGAGGGGGTTGCACGGTATCGGAGATTATCGGACGTCAAATTCCTTTCATGAAGTTGGGGATAGTCAAGGTAGAGGCGTTGAGGAACAGCTGGTGAGATCGGCCATAGTGTTCAGAGACCACAAACGCCATCGCTACGGTAGAGTCGATCAGTGGATTCAGAACCCAAAATTTGAGGAAGCTTTTCTGAATGCAAAAATCGAGTAAGAGTTCCCTTAAATAAAGGATAATTTTGCAGAGTTTTCACACCCATTGGTAGTTTATTCCAAATAGCAATTGCATTTACAGAATAGAACCGACGATGTTTAACAGTACGTGCCAGAGGCAGAAATAAGAAGACCTCACGGTGACTGTTACGTCGTGGGTGGATATGATGTCTTAAAGAAGTGAGTGGGTTAAATGTGTGATTATATAAGAGTTTAAATAGCAAAAATAGTCCCTTTTGTAATCTACGGAATCATAAAGGATCAAGGCCCGTAAGCCGGCAACGTTCTTGGTAAGACAAATGTCGGTGTTCCGGGGTTAAAATTCTCTTGGTAAAAAAGTGTTGAACGGATTCTATTTTCTTCCGCTCAGTAGCACGCATGAGGCTAAATAAAAACGAACCGTATTCCAGACCAGGTCTAACGTAAATGTTGTAAAGGCGCATTCTGATATCCCTAGTTTTTAAGTTTCGAAGGATAAACCCAATCGTTCTGCGTTCTTTGGAGACTATCAAGGCACAGTGCTCCGAGAGATTGAGACTCTTGGAGTATGCTATGCCCAGATCCTTAATAACCCTGGGCACATTTATAGAGTGACCATCAATATTTAGTTGAGGTTGGTGGTCGTCGCTAACCACCATGACTGAGCACTTATGCCAGGAAAGAGAAAGGCGCCATGTGCGGCACCACTGAGCGAAAGCCTGTAGATCGCTCTTTAGGAGCTCAAGCAGGATGTCACGATCTGCCGGCTTATATCCATATGCAACTTTAAGATCATCGGCATACATGGAAGGCTTACCATTCTGAAATAAATCGGGCACATCATTAACGAAAAGGCAAAATAAAAGCGGGCCGAGTACACTACCCTGAATGACTCCACTCCTCACACCTGTGGGATTGGAGATGGTATTGGAAATCTTAACTCGTTGTGTACGAGTGCCCAGGTAAGAGGATGTAAAATTCAAAAGTTTGCCACCTATTCCGAAAGAGGACAGTTTCAAGAGAAGAAGAGCATGGTCAACACGGTCAAAAGCCTTAGTGAAATCGAAATATACTGTGTAAAGAGCAAAACCATGGTCCCTAGATTGGAGAACATAGTCAAAGAAAGAGAGTTGACAGGTGTCACAAGATCGAGCTTTGAGGAATCCATGCTGAGCAGCGCTCAGTAGGTTATTCTCTGTTAAGTGACACTTCATCTTATCCTTGATCAATGTCTCTAAGATCTTCGAAACTGCAGGGAGTGTGTTTATTGGCCGAAAGTCATCAAATGATGTAGATTTGCCGTGCTTAGGAATGGGCAAAATGTGTGATTCCTTCCACAAGGTAGGATAGGTTTCAGTTTCAAGAGCAAGATTAAATATCTTGCATAAGAGGGATGGGAAGATCGTGTTTGTATCGGCTTTTAAAATGCTTACTGGGACATCATCAGGGCCTGGATTATAAGATTGACGAAAACGCCGAATCACAACAGTCACATCCCACAGAGTGAAAGTTATAGTTTCTAGAACTGCCCTGGTCAGTGGCTGGATGGTCGGAAGCGGAGTGTTCGAGACTTCAATGAACGTTTTGGACAGGAAATCATTGAAGCTATTAGCGGTTAACTGGGCATCAACTATGGGATTTCCGAGATCGTCTCGTAGGATGGGATGCTGCGTCTTTCTATGAGTTCGTATTTTTCTAGAGAAAAGTTTCGAGACATTTAACGAATGGTTTTCGGTAAACTGGACCTCTTCGGCTAGTTGGTTTTCTTCAGACGATCTCTTAGCTCGATCAAAAATATCACGAATCAAGGGCAGGACAGAAACATCGTTCTGAAGATGGAAACGACGATAAAGCCTGCGCAATCTGCGACGAAAGGGTAAGGGTAGGAAAACGTCATCTCCAACATTAAGAATTTTCTTACGGGGGACAAAACGAGAAATAAGCGGATCCAAAATTTCGTACAGATTTGCAGTGCAAACATTTACATCCGAACTAAGGAAGAAATCAGTCCAGTCGTAGGAATTAAGGTGTGTTAATAATTCGGTTGAGCGAGTTGATCGGAAATTGCGGAAAAAGCTAAACTTTGGGGACGACGTTTTGTCAGCCTCGAATTCCAACGTTAAAACAACTATGTCATGGTCTGAGACCCCCATTGGGCCTAGGGATGACACTGACGATGGCATGCAGCCTCTACAGAAAATTAGGTCAAGTATGCTTGCGCCTCGGGTGGGAAAATCAACAACCTGATTCCACATCCCAACTTCTACAGCCTCGAGAAAGTCATCGAACCTTCTGGGACCTGATGGCAAAGACCAGCGGACTTCGGGAAGATTAAAGTCATCCTCAACCAATTGATACTTAAAGCTTGAGTCGGCCGCATCATGAAATGCCTGTGAGAGTAAACGATCAAAATTGTCGTCGGCGTTGGGAGGACGATAGACGCAGCCAACGAGTAAGGAGAACTTATTTTTTTTAGTGCAACCTGGATCCAGCAGCTACCTTCTACTGCGGAAAAATGCGGGAGGTCCAACGGCAAAAATATAAAAGTTTGCTTAACGTAGGCGCAGCTGCCCCCACCATGGCTATCTTGGCGATCATTTCGAATGCAATTGTAGCCTAGAAGAGAGAGTTCGGAGTCAGCTACTGAGGCTGATGCCCACGTCTCAGTTACTAAAACAATATCAGGTCAATGGAAGAAAACCTGAGTCTGAAGCAAAGGCATCTTATTAAGCAAGGATCTGGCATTTAAAACAAAAAGTTTGAAGGGAAAGGCTGTTAGTTTTTGAGGGAGGTGGGCTACATCGTCCAGTTCTGGGTCGCCCACGGAGCATATGTTCCGGATGCAACCATCCGGTTCTGCAAAAAATTTTGTGGCATCAAAAAATTCTGACGTGGATAAAAAAGGGGAGGACTTGGGGGAGGGAATGACGGGCAGGTAAACTGGTAACCATTGATAGCTAACTTATTTTCAGCTGGAAATCCGCGGGGCAGATACTGCAACGTATTCCCGCCGGGACGAAACTGAGGATCGGATGAATTAACTGATTCAGTATGGACATTATCATGAGAAATAAATTGGTAAAACGGCCGTGGAGGAAACAAGTTAGGGGGTGGGGGACGCATTGTTTCCATTGGAGCAAGAGTTTTAGTAAACGGCGGAAAAATCGGCTTATTCGGCCTAAATGCCTCGATATGAGGGCTGGGGGGCAGTTGCGAACCCGCTACGTTTTGAGTCGGGGTATTTGAGGCACTGTTAGTCGATTGTGGAGGAAAACATTTTATACTGGTGCTGGATTTATTGGGTGTCCGAGGGGCTGAGACAGCAATTGAATTTGCCTTTGACTTAGACACATGCTTAGGCTTACTAGGGGTTGCTGAGGGAGTCGATAGAGGCGTGTTTATACCAGGCGTGGTGGTGTGTTTAAAGAGGTCAGCATTAACAGTAGTCGAACTCCCCACGGAATTGGCTATGCCGTGATGTACAGATGCCGCAGTTGGTGTTGTAGAGGACATATTCAGACTGACAGTAGGTGTCATTATCTTGGTGCTGGTTTTTGCCGAATTTAATGTATTCAGTCTTCGCTGCTGCGGTGTGAGGTCTGGCGAAACGGAGCAGCGCCATTTACGGCAGAAGTCTCTAGTTATCTCCCTACTCGGCAAGATAAAATCGACTTCTATCATGGAGAAAAGGGTAACTAGTATCGGCGCATTACGGCTAAGCGAGCGAAGTCGCTTAGCTTGTGCGACACTGAAACTCAAGCCACAACTTTGTAGGAACACATGCGCTCCCTCCCTAGCAGATAAGTGGCTCGGAATGTTTCGCAGTACGAAATTATGCTTGCGCTTAATTCTTTCCTCAGTTTCCGAACTAATTACCCCAATAAGTTTAAAAGCTTGTTCAATTACTTTTTCAGAAGTGCTGTTTATGTCGCCATAAATCAACTGGTCGACTATTTCGCCGGCTGATGGCCTGCTACGACTAGCAGAGGCGTATTTTTGGACGACTGAAGCGTCAAGAGGTTCTACATGTACTAAAGGGTTTTGTGAGTTAATCAGATCTGCGACGGCGAAGAACATACGCTGGCACCTGCTATGTCTTCGGTCACGATTTTAGTACCCAGAGACGGTGGGGAGGCCGCAAGCTTTCGCCGTTTAGCACGTGCTCTGCGGGGCATTACAGACAGGAAAAGTTTTTTCGTTACAGAAGAAGGATCAACACGTTGTCAACGTACGGAAAATCGCACTTAATAGCAAGTGCAACTGTTATTTAACTACAAAAAATAGAAAGAGATAGTAGGGAAAGGAGTCACTACAAAGGTTTTTTACAAAATACGACTATTTTGCCAGACTGTCAAATAAAACTTGGAAAAATTATATCTTGTATTGAACGGCGACTTTTAAAAGGGGCTCAAGTAAAAAACAGGCATTAGTTGCTTAAGAATATCCAGATAAATGCACAGCTTCACTTATCTTTGAAATTGGCAGTGCCTGTAAACTGGCATTTAATAAATTAAATTAAATTAATGTCATATCCTATATAATACTAACAAGGAATTAGTAAATAACTTTACAAGCACTCTTGATTGGCACAATATTTTTTCAAATAATGATCTAAATTTTTTCAAC